CCGGCCCGATCCCCTCCCCCCCCCCCCCCCCCCCCCCCCCTCCGCGTGTGCGCGCGTATACCCACAAGCCCATGTGCATGTCCCTGCGCGCGGCCCCCCCGCCCGCCCGCTGGCCAGCCGGCCGCGGAATGCTGTGCGGCGGCCCCCAGCGTGTCCCCCCCCCCCGGCCCCCGCGCGCGGGCGCGTCGGCGCCCCCGGCCGGTATACACGGGGATCCCGCTCCAGGCCGGGCCCGCCGAGATCGCCGGGGGGATCCGGCCGGCCCTTTCACGGCGGCAGATGGGGCCGGCGCCGGCGCCCCCGGCATCCCCCGGGGGAACATCAGTTCATTTTCGGGGCCCACCCTGCCAGCGCCCCCCCCCCGCCCCCCGCCCGCCCCCGGCGTGGGCCGGATGCAGCGCGGCGCACAGGGCGGGGGAGCCGCGGAAAACGGGGCCGCCGCGGGAGCAGCTGAAAATGTGCCCCCCCTTCCGGAATGGGCCGCCATCGGCCGCGACCTCCGCGCCGGGCGCCGGCGGCCCACCGGGACGCACGGGCCCCCTCCTCTCTTTCTCTCTCCCTCCCCTCTGCCATGCGGGCCGGCCGGGGTCGCGGCGCGTGCGGCCGCCGGGGACGCGCCCGCGATCCGTTGCAATTCGTCAGCGATGAGTATTGGCCGCCGGCGGCTGGCTGCACACTCGTGGGGAGCACCGCACGGACTCCGGACGCCGGCGGGGGTTCCGTGGGGAGACGCACGCGCCCGGCGGGCCCGGGCCATTTTGTGGCCGCGCCGGCGCCCGGAGGAACTCCAACGTATCTGCCCCGCCCCCTCGCCCCTGCGCCCCGCCCCCGTCCCCGTCCCCCCCGCCCCCCCCTTCAGTGCTCGGCCCCTGCGGCTTGTGGGCCCCGGCCGCCGGCTTTATCGGCCCCTGCGCGCGCCCCGGGGCCGCGATCGGTCAGCCCGCGGCCATCCGGCCAGCTCGACCGTCCTGCCTCGCTCCCCCCCACCCAGGGGGCGCACGCACGCCCACTCCCCATGCACCGGGGGCGCCGAAGAGGCCACCCCCCCCCCGCTCGGCGACCGGGCAGGTGCCGGCCTTTTCACGGCCCGGTTCTCGGGAAGCCCGCCGGCTCGCAGGCCACACGGTGCGGGGGGCCGCAGAGACAGGGCGGCAAGCGGCGCGGCGAGGGCACACGAGCCGGCCCGGGGAACATGGCGCCATTCCTGGACCTGCCCCCACCCCGCCCGCGCCCGCCCGCCCCGGGGGTGTGGGGTGGGGGTACGCATCGCACACGCCACGAGGCGGTCTGCTGCTGCAGAACGGAGGGCCCGTTCTGCGATGCTCATGCGGAGGGACCCCGTGAGCTGGCGCGTCCCGCGCGCGGCCCGGGGGGAACCCTGCTTCGTGCGCGCGCCCGCGCCAGCCGCGGGCCCAAGGCGGGGGCAGAGCCTGCCGCGGGGCGGCGGCCCCCCCTCGGGGCGGGGGGACGGCGACCGAGGAGGGAGAATACCGCGGCCGCCCGTGTGCCGACCCATCCGGGCGCGCGCGCGCGCGCCCCCACCAACATAACCGCCCCGGGTGTGTGGGCTCGACGCCGGCGCACGCCGGCCCGCCTGCGTGCTCCGGCCGCTCTGTGGCCCCATCCTGGATCCTCTGACACAGGTGGGCCCAGGCAGCTGCCCGGCCCCCGGGTCTCGCCGACCGGGCCGCCGCTGGCCCGGGGCGGGGCGGGGCGGGGCGGGGATCATACGATCCGGCCTGTGCCCGGGGCCCGCGAGAAGAGGCCGCGCCGGCCGGCCGGCATCTCGGGGACGAGCGGGCGCGCGCGCGCGCGCGCGGCCCTCCTCGCGCCGCATGCGCCCCGGCCGCGCCGGCCCACGTCCCTCCCCCCCGACAAGGCACGCAGCGGGGGGGGGTACTCCCGCCCGCCAAAGCCCCCGCCGCAAGTGGCCCCAGGCTCGACCAGCCGCGCCAGAAGGACCCCACAGACCGCCTCGCGGCGCCGGCCGAGGAAAGGCCCCCCGCCTCGCGCCGGCCCCGCCCCAGCCCGGGGGGGGGGGGGGGACGAAAGGCAGTCGGATCGCCCGCACCGCACCGCACGTGCACGCCCGGCCGACAGGACTCTCAAGGGGGCACCCCGGAGCCCGTTGCGAGGCCCCGACGCCGTGGAAGCCCAACCGCCGCGGCCCGCGGTGCGCCGGGAGCGTCCCCGCGCTGGCCGAGAGACCCCGCGCTCCTCCAGGCAATCGGCCCGGCGGCTGGCGACCAGGCGGGAGACGGGGGGGGGG